AGAAAAAGTAAACGGTCATTTCAAATTACACACATTTTCTCCTTAAAAAAAAAGAGGGTTAAAGTGTACCTAAACCCAAAATACATTTATAATCAGGTGCTTGGAAACACTGGCTGTAGCTGCTGCCCTGCAGTGTTGAACTGGTTAACAGCTGGAAGAGTTCAATACACGGAGTCTGGTAACACTGCACTGTGGGAACTGTAGTTCAGAAGAGAGAGATTTGATCTACATTACCCAGAGAGAGACTGCCAGGTGTAGGGGAAAGAGCTGCATTTCCCAGTCTGTACAGGGCATTATATTCTTTCTGGCCATGAGGGAGACAGGAGAGTGCACAATGCAATCCAGTGTGCACCACCCCAATGCTGCATAAAAGCAGCATGAATGGAACAAAAGGGCTAACAGCCAGAGTCACCTGGGTGCAGAGCAGAGAGGGGATTAATCAATGTGTGACTGGATGGAGAGCTGCTACTGTGAGGACTTACTATCTGATGCTAGAGAGGGATGAGCTCTTTAGGAACTGATCATACAGACATCTACAGTAGTAGCCTTATTGCTGCATGCAGACTTGGTTGGCACTATTCTCGTACACCAGCAGTACAACTAGGCCCCAACACTAGCCAGCTGAAGAGTTAGGACTAAAGGCTACCCCCTTTAAAACTGCTACACAGAGACCATTGCTTATGCTAAGAGGTACCTCTTAGGAAACATTGCACCATATTCTAGCCATTCTGCTAGAATGCACTCTCGACTAGTTATGGTACTATTCACATTGCAGTTAAAGGATAAGTACACCTTTGGAACATGTTCCATATTACACCCATGTTCCAGCATCTGCACCCTGTAACCCCCACTCCCTTTCCCATGACAGCAGGCAGAGGTAGGATCTCCCTGAACCCATTGTCACAATTTTAATCCAGCATGGCTGTGCAGGGCTATGGCCATGGGCATCAGTTTCCTGTTAATGAATACCCTACAAATACTGCCAACCATTGAGGCTGACATTTCATAGCTCTCAATTAACTATGAGGGCACTAGCAAGCGCTCTGGTAGTTAGTGGATTCTTCCGACTCTAAAGTAACTACTTGCCTGTATGAGATAGTCATACAGCTATCCTTAGAGTCTGCAGGAGCTGTAGACTGCACCCACAATCTGCTGGTCGCGGGTGCAGTGCTCTGCAGGCTCCTTAAAAAAATAAATGCACATTTTTTTTTTTTTAACTGCAAAAAAAAAAAGTGCTTACAGTAATTTTTTTTTTCCTTTTTTCAAAAAAGTGAACTTGTCCTTCAATGATTACATGCACCATTTATTGCCAGTTTGTTGTGTTTACAGTTTAGTGGTACAGAACTCCATTCTACGTTCTTTTGGCATAGTGATTATACTGTTTAGCAGACTTTTTCTGAACCTACATTTTGTATGCTCACACCACCATTTACTCTAACCCATAACAATACATTGAGTTTATTTACCACTTAAAAATGGCTTTGTGTTTATTTCCTGATACGAGTTCACAGCCAAGTTAAAAAAGGTATCCACACTTGTGTTCCTATAACTGCTTGCAGTAACTTTCACTCAACCAGGTGTGTCAGAGGGATGAGGTTGTTCGGAGAGTCACGGCGCAGAAGAGAACCCAAAATACCAAGCAGCTGCTTCGGGGATGGTACTACACTTTTCATTTATCGCAATTTACCAGTCCTTAGATGTGGGGGCCGCATTAGTTTTTTCCTTTATTTTCACCTAATTCTGTGAACACATTTCCTGCTCCCAGGGTTGGCTATCCTCAGTTCAACACTATCTGTGGGGACAGTCATGGATGCCAAATATGTCTGTCCTTTGTGTTCTCCATTATTTGGGGAGATAGAGGGATTAGTAGTTTACAGAAGACACATTAACACAGAAAGTGACAAGGACACTGCATTTCTAGCAAGATCAACAGGTAAGCTGCAATATATCAAATGTTTGTCCTTACACACATGTATTTCTAATTAAGATAATAAATCTATCATAGAAAAACACTGAGGGTACATTCACACTAGGAACAGAAAAATGCTGAGTAGCTCATATTGTACAAGAGTTTAGGAGTGTTTATGAGCATTTGCTTTTAGAAGTGGTTTTTTTTTTTTTCCATCAAAAACATCCCCCCCCCCCCTTGTGCTGCTTGAAAACTCCCCTCAAAAATATACTTGTGAAGGGTTTTTTATGTCTCTGTACTCTCCTCTTGAAATATGCCTCTAAATGCCCTACTAAGCATGGACATATACAGGTTAATCTAAAAAAATTAGAATATCGTGCAAAAGTTCATTTATTTCAGTAATGCAACTTAAAAGGTGAAACTAATACATGAGATAGACTCATTACATGCAAAGCAAGATAGTTCAAGCCGTGATTTGTCATAATTGTGATGATTATGGCTTACAGCTCATGAAAACCCCAAATCCACAATCTCAGAAAATTAGAATATTGTGAAAAGGTGCAATATTCTAGGCTCAAAGTGTCCCACTCTAATCATCTAATTAAGCCATAACACCTGCAAAGGGTTCCTGAGCCTTTAAATGGTCTCTCATTCTGGTTCAGTAGGAATGACAATCATAAGAAAGACTGCTGACCTGACAGTTGTGCAGAAAACCATCATTGACACCCTCCATAAGGAGGGAAAGCCTCAAAAGGTAATTGCAAAAGAAGTTGGATGTTCCCAAAGTGCTGTATCAAAGCACATTAATAGAAAGTTATGTGGAAGGGAAAAGTGTGGAAGAAAAAGGTGCACAAGCAGCAGGGATGACCGCAGCCTGGAGAGGATTGTCAGGAAAAGGCCATTCAAAAGTGTTCAGGACTTTCACAAGGAGTGGACTGAGGCTGGAGTCAGTGCATCAAGAGCCATCACACACAAACGGATCCTGGACATGGGCTTCAAATGTCGTATTCCTCTTGACAAGCACCTCCTGAACAACAAATGTCAGAAGCGTCTTACTTGGGCTAAAAGAAAAACAGACCTGGCCTGTTGCTCAGTGATCCAAAATCCTCTTTTCTGATGAGAGCAACTTTTGCATCTCATTTGGAAACCAAGGACCCAGAGTAGAATATGGAGGAAGAATGGAGAGGCACACACTGCAAGATGCTTGAGGTCCAGTGTGAAGTTTCCACAGTCTGTGTTGATTTGGGGATCCATGTCATCTGCTGGTGTTAGCCCACTGTGCTTCATTAAGTCCAGGGTCAGCGCAGCCGTCTACCAGGAGATTTTGGAGCACTTCATGCTTCCTTCCACAGACGAGCTTTATGGGGATGCTGACTTCATTTTCCAGCAGGACTTGGCACCTGCCCACACTGCCAAAAGCACCAAAACCTGGTTCAATGACCGTGGGATTACTGTGCCTGATTGGCCAGCAAACTCACCTGACCTAAACCCCATAGAGAATCTATGGGGCATTGCCAAGAGAAAGATGAGAGACATGAGACCGAACAATGCAGAAGAGCTGAAGGCCGCTATTGAAGCATCCTGGTCTTCCATAACACCTCAGCAGTGCCACAGGCTGGTAGCTTCCATGCCACGCCGCATTGAGGCAGTAATTGCTGCAAAAGGGGCCAAAACCAAGTACTGAGTACATATGCATGCTTATACTTTTCAGAGGTCCGATATTGTTCTATGTACAATCCTTGTTTTATTGATTGCATGTAATATTCTAATTTTCTGAGATTGTGGATTTGGGGTTTTCATGAGCTGTAAGCCATAATCATCACAATTATGACAAATCACGGCTTGAACTATCTTGCTTTGCATGTAATGAGTCTCATATATTAGTTTCATCTTTTAAGTTGCATTACTGAAATAAATGAACTTTTGCACGATATTCTAATTTTTCGAGTTTCACCTGTAGGAGAACATTGAGCTACCCCTACAGGCAGGAGAAAAAAAAATTAAACAAAAAATAATCCCACAAAACTCCTGTAGAAGCAGTGTGTGCGTGTATTAGCTAAATTAGCTTTGCATTCGATTCATTTACGTTTTTCAGCCGCTATTCAAAGCTTGATCACAAATTCCACCAGAAAGCAGCAGCTGAATAACCCACAGGATCTATATAGCAACTGGTGAAAGTTCATGTGAAAGTTCCCCCATACTCAACCTGTTCTAACCATTGTAGGTTAACAGATAACAGCAGTGTTAAAGCAGAACTTTACCTATAACTTGACAAAAATAATGCTCTTTAGCAATGGACATACATTTCACATGAATAATTATGCTACCAAAATTAGTGTGTGCTGTAAATTGCCTCCAGCATTGCTCCTGTTTCTTCTTGCTGGAAGCTGCCATTTTTCTGAAGCTTAGGGCTCATGTACACTGCAGCTGCTAAACTCACGTTTAGGAGCTATTCAGCATTTTTTTTCAGTTGTTTACGCTCAGTTGAGTTTACAGTCGTTTTTTTTTTGAACACAACAAACTTGCTTTCAGACTTCGACTTTATCAGCGTTTCAAACGCAAACCGCTTGTAAATGCAGCAAATCAAGTTTATAAGCGTTTGTGTTTTACTTGAAAACAAAAGATATATTAATGACCATTCACACCTCAAATTCCTCATGAAGACCCCCTGCCAGGTGGCCTTAATGACTCACTCCACCAGACACCTGTCCCACCCTTGGAAACAAAAGAAATGTTGTTAATGAGCAACTCACACCTACCTTATTTTTCCCTCCATAAGATGCACTTTTTTCCCCCCAAAAAAGGGGGGAAAATGTCAGTGCGTCTTATGGAGCGAATATAAAGCGGCTGGTCCTGTATTTCCGCCGCCCACCATGTCAGAATACCGGGCTGGCAGCTCAGCTGTTCTCTGCGGTAGGAACTCACCTGTTCCTCGGTCCAGCGCTGTAGTCTTCCCCCCGCGCCGGCTGCTTCCCGCCCTGTGACAGCCGGGTGCCCACTGCGCATGCATGAGAAGCGATACGCTTTGTGAATGGTCTGGTGTCTTCTGGACACATGACAGGTCCCAAAAGACTCCAGGCCATTCACAAAGCACAGCACTTCTCGCGCATGCACAGTGGGCACCCGGCTGTCAAAGTCGGGTGCCCACAGTATAGGAAGGAGAACTCCGCAGAAGTGGGAGCGGGTACCTGTCAAATTCAGGTACCTGCTCCCCCTCCCTCCCTAAAGGTCTGCAGTCTGTGGTCATCCCCTGTACTGTCTGCAGTGTCTGGTCATCCCCTGTACTGTCCCAGAGACTGCGGTCATCTCCTGTACTGTCCCCGCAGTCTCTGGTCATCTCCTGTACTGAACCCTGCAGTCTCTGGTCCATCTCCTGTACTGTGTCTGCAGTCCCTGGTCCTTCTCCTGTACTGTCCCCGCAGTCTCTGGTCATCTCCTGTACTGAACCCTGCAGTCTCTGGTCCATCTCCTGTACTGTGTCTGCAGTCCCTGGTCCTTCTCCTGTACTGTGTCCGCAGTTTCTGGCCATCTCCTGTACTATGCTCGCAGTGTCTGGTCACTTCCGGTACTATGTCTGCAGTCCATTGGTTCAGAATTTTTTTTCTGGTTTCTCTCCTTTAAAACCTAGGCGCGTCTTATGGTCAGGTGCATCTTATGGAGCGCAAAAATACGGTAATTATCTCAACACATACTGCTGTCTCTGCAATAATAATTAATAATTTACCACTTTTCAGTGCATTCTGGGCATTTGGGAGGTTCTCTTGTGCTTATCTTTAAAAACGCTTCTAAGCGCATTACGCAAACACGGCTAAACAGACATTTTTTAACCTACGTTTTCCAGCAGTCAGTTTCCATCATTCAGAAACGTCCCGTGTACATGGGGATTTAGAGCCCCTGAACAGCAATAAATCTATAAGCTGTCAGCTAATCCACCTTTAGTGGCTCTGATTTCAGGCGCAGCACCGAAAAACAGAGCAACTGAGCATGTGCAGAACAGGGTGAGACCGTGTATTACTGGATTTTAAACGTTTTACATAGGTATACCTGCAAAGGGGCCAGCCCGAAGATGTAAAGCAGGACATTATTTTCACTTTAGGCCTAGTACACACGTAAAATGCTTTTTTTTTTTTTTAATCAACCCATGCTAAACAAAAAAAAAAAAAAAAAAAAGCATTTTTAGTGCAGCAATCTCCCCGACTGTGCCTTTGTGTTCTGACAGGGGTACTGCCCCCTCCCCCAGCAGAACATACTGATCAGCCATTGCCTGCAAGCTCTGATTAGATGCTGGTTTTCTAGCATGTACCTTCAAACAAAAGTGGCCGTTAAACTTGCTTGCAGCTGTATACTGACTGAATGTCAGCCAGTTTCTGCTGAACCGGCCGATATTTGGCCAATGTGTACCCAGCCTTAAAGTGACCATAGACAGAGACTCCTCCAATCCAAACAGCTCTCACTCCCTTCTGTATTGCCCTGCACAGGAGCATGTGTATACCTACCACATTGTGGTTTAGAGGAGAAACTTCCTAGGAAGACAACAAACGTATCTATTCCATAATACCTATGGCCAGCCTAACACAAGGGAGCTTCCATTCTGTGAACCATGCCCAAAAAAAAAAAAAGAAGGAGAAGGGAAGAGGGCGAAGGAAGAGGGATGCCCCATCATTTGATGGAAATGAAAATGATCAACCTATAGAGGACTAAATTCAAAGACACCCTGAAAATCAAAGTGAAAATTATGCAGCAGGCTAGTCCATTTTGCTGAAATTTCATTGCAGCAACTCAAAAATAGTACTCAGTAGTTTGTATGGCCCCCACGTGCTTGTATGCATACCTGACATCGGGGCATGCTCCTAATGAGAAGGATGGTGTCCTGGAGTATTTCCTCCCAGATCTGGACCAGGGCATCACTGAGCTCCTGGACAGTCTGAGGTGCAACCTGGTGGCGTCGGATGCACCAAAACATGATATCCCAGAGGTGTTCTATTGGATTTAAGTCAGGCGAGCATGGGGGCCATTCAATGGCATCAGTTCTTTCATCCTCCAGGAACTGCCTGCATACTCTCACCACATGAGGCTGGGCATTGTCATGCACCAGGAGGAACCCAGGACCCACTGCACAAGCGTAGGGTCTGACAATAGGTCAAGTTTTTATCCAGATACCCAATGGCAGTCAGGGTGCCATTGTCTAGCCTGTAGAGGTCTGTGTGTCCCTCCATGGATATGCCTCCCCAGACCATCACTGATCCACCACCAAAACGGTCATGCTGAACGATGTTATAGCCAGCATAACGTTCTCCACGGCTGCTCCAGACCCTTTCACATCTGTCACATGTGCTCAGGGTGAACCTGCTCTCATCTGTGAAAAGCACAGGGCACCAGTGGCGGACCTGCCAGTTCTGGTGTTCAATGGCAAATGCCAATTGAGCTCTATGGTGCCAGGCAGTGAGCACAGGGCCCACTAGAAGAAGTCAGGCCCTCAGGCCACCCTCATGAAGTCTGTTTCTGATTGTTTGGTCAGAGACATTCACACCAGTGACCTGCTGGAGGTCATTTTGTAGGGCTCTGGCTGTGCTCATCCTGTTCCTCCTTGCACAAAGGAGCAGATACCGGTCCTGCTGATGGGTTAAGGACCTTCTATGGCCCTGTCCAGCTCTCCTAGAGTAACTGCCTATCTCCTGGAACCTCCTCCATGCTCTTGAGACTGTGCTGGGAGACACAGCACATCTTCTGGCAATGGCACGTATTGATGTGCCATCCTGGAGGAGTTGGACTGCCTGTGCAATCTCTGCAGGGTCCAGGTATCGCCTCATGCTACCAGTAGTGATTCCGACCCTAGCCAAATGCAAAACTAGTGAAAAACAGTCAGAAAAGAGGAGTAGGGAAAAAAAATGTCAGTGGCCTCCACCTGTAAAACCATTCCGGTTTTGGGGGTCGTCTCATTGTTGCCCATCTAGGTGCACCTGTTGATTTCATTAACACAAAAGTAGCTGAAACTGATTAACAACCCCCTCTGGTACTTAACTGGCCAGATCAATATCCCAGGAGTGTAATTGATGCTATACTCTGACTAAAAAGTGTTCCTTTAATTGTTTTGAGCAGTGTTAGAGAATATGAAATATATATATATGAATATATATATATTTATTTTTTTTCCCCATTCTGTACAATAGGTAAAATTATACTGTAAAGGTGTTTAACAATCACAACAGGACACAAAGTAGTCAACTGCAAGTTTTAAATTTATTTAGGAAATGGTTTGCACATAATCAAACTTCAACTGCAAAAAATCTCCCTGATTTACAAAAGCCAACAAGACAAACGTAATATACCACAGTGAGGAAAGTGGTGTGAGCAGGACATAAGGCGAATCATCCTGAGGGGCGATCTGCAAGGTGCGGCAGCATGTCACAGAAACGAAGATGAATAACTTAGTGTTGCTTCCTTCTGAAAGAACAACCTGTGAAGATGTTGTGCTGTCAGTGTTGCGTGATCATACAAGGATACAAAAGTACATCTATGCAGTGAATTTGGCACATGTAACTTGTCATCACAAAGGGAGTTTGTGCTCCCAAAAAAAAAAGTGTACTGCCACTTACCACAAACTGTAGGCGTCTTCCACAGGCATATAATTAGAAAATCAGAAGAATGCAGCTGGGTACAGCTCTAGACTGAGGCAAGTATAAGGGGGTGAGGGGGGCAATTCTGCTACCTAAACATAGTTTAGCTTAACCCCTTGACGCCGAGCTCACACAAATATGCGGCCTTTCGGCGCCTGGGGCTTGACGCAGAGAGGCCGCATATTTGTGTGCAATTAGAAAGTACATATGTGCTGAGAGCGTGCGTCCTGCGAACTCCCAGCACATATGTCCTTGACTCATGGAAAGGTCCGATCTCCCCTTTTCCAATCGTAACCGCGAATCATGGCGTCACATGACCCTAAAACCCCACCCACCTCCCGGCTTCTGAAACTCTTAAAGGGCCAGGAGGTACCGACGCAAAGTGGTTAATGCAGTGAATGGATCAAGGTAAAAAATGTTTAGGCTTTAGAACCACTTTAAAATATCAGTAACTAAAGAAGGTAAAGCAATGATGAATTCACTGTATTTATAGGTTATACTGCCATCTTTCAGGAGGATTGGACACCGACAAAAAAAAAAAAAAAAAAAAAAAAAAAAATTTAGCCAATTTAAGGTAACCGCTCTAATCGTCCAATCAACATCCTGGTCCTTTGGACGATTTGTCTGTCTATGCAGCAAGGGTCCATCCTGCTGGAAGATCATCCAATTTGGATTCAGTTGGACAATACCACAGCGGCGATGCACATCAGTCATCAGGAAGAGACCAGACGTATTGCTGTGGCAAGAGGTATAATTAATCCTATGCTTGCTTGATCTTCACGTTGCAGCCTTGTCAACCATACATACAAGATTTTGTCAGTAGACAATGCCTAGACCCAAAGTAGTGGACTGTTAACCCTTTATTCCAGGACCTGCGTCATGTGGGGTGGGGGGGATGTAGGGAACACCAGATGTGGACTTCCTGGCCTCCAGGTTCCAAAACAAACTGGGCAACCTTGTCTCCAGGTACAGGGATCCTCTAGCACAGCCTTTATCAACCTTTTCAACACAGAGGAACCCTTGAAATAACTTTCTGGTCTCAGGGATCCCCTGCTAAAAAGGACTATATCTACAACTCATGATACATTAGTGTGATGGTCAGTGGGAAGAATGCTCCTTACACTTGTGGTCATTGAGCTGAATTACCCCCCCCCCCCACCTTACAGATAGCTAAAAAGACCATTGGTGTCAGTGGGAACTTACCCGAGAGGTAGAAATTGCTCAAAGAACCCCTAGCAATCTCTGGAGGAGGAACCCTAGTTGAGAAACCCTGCTCTAGTAGAAGCAGTATATGAGGTGCTAGCTATGTGGGATCAGTGTACATATGCATTTCCTGTCCTTCCCACTTGCCCTCCAGATTATTTACCTCCCTTCCTGACCAGGACATTTTTTGCATTATGGTGCTGTGTTATTTTAACTGACAATTGCGTGGTCATGCAATGCTGCACCCAAATTAAATTGATGTCTTTTTTTTTCCCCATGAATAGAGCTTTCTTTTGGTGGTATTTGACAGCGTGTGCGTTTATTTTTTGTGCTATAAAAAAAAAAAAAAAAAAAAAAAAAAAAACAAAAGACCAACAATTTTGAGAAAAATAACCCAATATTTTTTACTTTTTTCTATTGATCATATCTAGAAAAAAAAAAAAAAAAAAAAAAAAAAAAAATCAATATTTCATCATAAATTTAGGACAAAATTTATTCTGCTATATGTCTGTGCTAGAAAAAAAAAATCCCAATACGTGTAATTAATTGGTTTACGTGAAAGTTATAGCATCTACAAATGATGGTATATATACACTGGTATTTTTTTTTTTTTTAAACTAGTAATGACAGCGATCACCGACTTACAACGGAGCTGCGGCGGGCATTCTGACACTGGGGGGAACTGACTTCGTGTCACTGACATTCCCAGTGACACCAATACAGTGATCAGTGCTAATAAAAAGCACTGACATTGTACTAATGGCACTGGGCATGAAGGTGTTAACATGTGGGTCGATCAAAGGTTAACTGTGTGCATGTGCTTCACTGTAAGCATGCTGCTTTGCATGGCTATGTACAGCCATGCAAAGCAGTGTGCAGGAGCTGACAGGGGAGAGAACTGTTTTGTTTACAAACAGTTCTCCCCCCTCCCATTGGAGATGCTCGGCAATCACCAGCGAGTAATCAGTGGCCGGGACCCAGTGATTGACAGCCGCGACACGCGCCCCCTTCCCGGAAATGCAAAATCATGTACACACACACACGTGATTTTATGCACCCGCCCCCCCCCCCCCCGTAGCAGCACTTCTGCTATAGGGCGGAGGGGAAGCGGTTAAACCTATTTGCTTCACGGCATTCAGATACAGGGCCTCCCAGTGACCTCCTTGCTCCCAATTAGCCCAGGTGGATGTGGTACGCTAATATGGAAAGACATCAAGCGGATGCTTCATTAGCACTGTAAGATCCTTAGAATTTTCTTTCCCATGTTCCGATTAGCCAGTTTCACACTCACTGGTTTTACTGGCATGACTGTTAAAGCCCAAGGTCTGGGAAAAAGGCATTTGAGTCTGAATCTACAATACTAAAATTAGAAAGTCACCTCCTGCAAGGTCTCTAATCGTGGAAGGTTTCAGTGTCAGTCTCTGGGCTTCCACTCTGGCATCAGATGAGGACTGACCATCCACCTAGTAAAACTTGGAGAACATGTGAACAGAAGACCAGGCAGCATCCTTGCGTATCGGGAAAACAGTTGCCTGATGCCCAAAAGCAGCACTCACAGACCTGGAAGAGTGCACCTTGACAGGAAAAGGTGGAACCTTGTCCTTGATACCATAAACTTGTACGATGATCTGTCTAAGCCACCAATGAAAAACATTTGAACAAGATGCTGGTTTCACTTTACAGGGACCATCAAGAATGACCAAAACAGAGTCAGTCATTCTAACAGAAGCAGTGGCATAGAACAAATTGCATTCAGGTGGTGATGGCAAGGCAGTCTTTAAAGAGCCCAGAAAGCCAAATTCAAATCCTACATATTCAAAGCTGGTTTTACAGGAGTAGCCACATGAGAACCACTCTGTACAAAAGTCTTGACCAAACGAGTGGGAGGCTGTTTTTTGGAATAAGATTGCAAAACCTGATATTTGTCCCTTGTTGAACCTGGAAAAATACATGCGGTGACCCCAACCTATGACACAGGTACTGGAACACTTTGGGTTGTACAGTCTATTTTCCAGGACTGGGGTAGTCAACCTGAAAGTGAATGAAATGACGTACAAGGTTGGAACATGGAGTTCTGCCCAGGCTAGAATCCTTTCCACCCCTCTTGCCACAGCAAGACCTCTGGCTTCCTCCATGAGGATTGATGTATGCCACTGCCATGTCATTGTCCATTTGAATCCTGACCGAATGATTGTCTAGTCAGGAGACCTAACATTGCAGGGACAACCAAACTGCTTAAAAGGTCCAGAATTTCGACTGGCAGACAAGATTCCTCTGGCAACCAAGTCCCCTGCACCAACAAGGCATCTAGGACTGGAATGTGTTAATATCTTCCAAGACCAGGTTATTCAGAGATTCAAACTGTTTATCCCACGACAATAGAATGTGTTGTAGGCGCCTGGAGCAGAACTGCCTCAAAACGAGGCAACCATCAAGACCAGAATTCTCCTGCCAGAATCCCAGAGTTGTACAGCTTCTGACTTGCAGTCAGAGACTGATAGTGGAGAGTCAGAAGTTCTTTATGAGACAGAAAAACTGTGGAGTGAGCCGTTTCCAGGATGAGACTCAGATACTCCAAAATGACATGTTATTTGTGGCACTGAAGACGTAGGATCCAACCAAACTTTTTATAGTCAGGACCGTCGTCATCTCATTTTCAGTATTTGTGCCAACTGCTCCTTTAGTAGGAGATCGTACAGGTATCCCACAATGTGAATAACCTGGAAGTGTAGTATGGCTAGCAGGGGTGCAAATACTTTTGTAAACACTCCGGGTGTGGAAGGCAGCCCAAATTTTAGGGCTACAAATTGGTAGTGTTATACTCCCACAGCAATTCAGAGGAAGAGTTACCGCACTGGAAAGATGGGTGACATGCAAGTACACATCCTTGATGTCCACAAAGGCTAGAAAGTCCTGTGATAGAGGAAGACTGAAACCTCATGGGTTCCATGGAACATTTTTGGATTTGAATGAAGACATTTAAAGCTTTCAGACTGAAAATAGGTCAAATGTCACATTTCTACTTTGGAGAAGTGAAAAATTGGAAGTAAAAACCATGAAACCTTTGTGCTGTTGAAACAATTTCTTGTTTCAGAAGATTTAGAACAGCAGCATAGAGATCTGCTAGTCTGTGCGGAAGTATCTGCAGATTGGACAAGATGAAGCTGGAATGAGGGAGAGAGTGGAATTCAAACTTGTAACCCTTGGAAACTACAACTCTAACCCATCGCTCGCAAAGACCAATACTTTCTAATCCCACAGACAAGTCCACTGCAGCATGAAGGGCTCCCTCTCCCCACTTCATGCTGAACTGGGCTTGTCTGTAGACTTGGAAGATTTAAGGGTACAGGCCTTGTGATTTAACACAGCTCTTGGTTTGGGTCTGGCCTTGGAGGTTGAAGCATTGCAGTAATGAAAGGAACGCTTCTTGGCCTCAAGGAAGGGAGGAGACTTACCAGCTTGTGGATAAGGATTATTTTGCTGGGGTAAATTGATAACTTTACCCCCAGTAACATCCTTTATCAAAAAGGAATCCACAAGTGTTTTTTTACATTGCTGTTTCACAGACCAACATTTCACCCAAAGAGTTCCCCGCATATGTTTTATGAAGGCAAGAGAACATCATAGCAATGATGGGAAGAGCCCACTTCTTGATAGAGGCCTCCTCAGAACAGGTCCATAATATCCACCATAATTGAGAGACCTCTTTCCTGAATATTGAGAGGGCCACACCTAATATAGCTAAAAGGAAGGAAAAAAAAAAAAAAAAAAAACCACACACAAAAAGGAGTTTGGACTTGTAGAGAAACTAGGTTGTAGTTGTTTGGTCCCTGAGGGGGACACTGCAGGCAGACCTGAAAATCAGTGGATCAGGAGTTGTAAAAGCCTGATGTAGCGGGACTGTTCCCCTTTGCACTTGGGAAGAAGTACAACTGTGTAAACCGTTGAAATTAAATTTACTTGGCCCACACAATGTACTCATTAACCACTTCCCAGCCAGTCCATGTACATAAACGGCCAGACAGGAGCGCTGCGGGAGGGGGTGGACGTTTTTAAACATTCCCCCCTCATCCATTGCCTGGGAGCGTGCGGCACCGCAATCGGTGTATGGGACCTCCGTGTGAGGTCCTGATTCATGTGATCACGATTGGCCAATCAGTGATCACATGAATAGTAGTAAACAAGATGTCACTTCCTGACATCATTGCTTACTACTTATAAAATCTGTGAATGATCACAGAGGTCACATGGTACAAGGCTATTCACAACAGAATTGTACCATGTGACAAGCAGTGACCAATCAAAACTCGCACAGTATTTCTAAATGACTGCAAGAATGCAGCCAGAGAAGGAGAAAATGATTGATTTTACAGCCTTTATGGGTGTAAAAGCAATCAGTGTAAAAAAAGAAAAAAAAAATCATCACCCCCTACAAGTAGCAGTACTGCTAGGGTGACAGTATGTTAAAAAAAAAAAAAATATATAAAAACATAATAATGTAAAAAAAAAATTTTTTAAATTATAATTTTTGGTTATAAAACGAATGTTATTTTTTTTTTACTAAAAAGATAGATGAATACATTTTGGCCAAGATTTATGAAGAAAGATTTGCAAAATTTTATAAGGAAAACTTTTCTGGACTTTTTTTTATTTATATAGCAAAAAAACTAAAAATCCCAATGGTGAATAAAAACCACCAAAATAAAGTTTTATCTGTCTCAAAAAAATGCTAAAAAAAAAATCATATGGGTACAGTGTTGCATGACCGCACAATTGCCAAAGTGTGATGGCACTGAAAGCTGAAATTTGGCCTGGGCAGGAGGTGGGGGGAATGAAAGTGTCCGGACTTGAAGTGGTTAAAGATCTTCAGGGACTGGGTCACATCGGAGGCTGTGCCACAACTCTATACCTGGAAAGTGCTCTGCAGAGGTCTGAAAAGCACCACAAGCGGAGCCCTGTGCCCAAAGCCATATTCCAGGCTTCAGTCCAGCATGGTCCAGGTAAAAGGCTCTAAAGCTAATTACGGAGCATGCAGCAATCTGGAAAGCTGCATAAAGAGCTCAGCAACATATGAAGCCTTGATTGAAGGGGGAAAAAAAAAAAATCCTGAAAAGTAGAAAATGGCTAAAAAAAAAAAAAAGTTAAACTTCTCTTAATAGAGAAATGGCAACCATCCTCCTAGGACACCAAAACCAGCAAACAAGTAAAGCATGCTGGGTGTAGAAGGGGTTATACCTGGCTGGCCAACAGTTTTTTGTTCTTGTTCAATTTCTCCTGTTCACAGCAGTATAAACCAATTGTCTCAGAAAAACCAAATCCTGTAAAACCCTCAACAAATGAGAACATGCTAGTTTCCGTAGACTTCAATGTAAGATCATGCCCAAAGGGAGTTTAGAAACAGTTACCTTCTGTGAGCCTGGCTTTTCCACCTGTGGGCTGGCACAGGACTGTCGAGCATCCTACACAAAGGACAACCGTCTGTGCATGGCTGAATACAGTAGTGATCTTATAGCATCCTGGAAAAACAAAGACATTAAATAATGAATAAACAAGGCAATCATTTCACTTGCAGTTCAGCTGAATAGGTTCAAATATACAACAAAACTACCAGGGGACCAGGGATTCATAAAAAGGATAGCTTCCAATTTTAGGTTTCACAACTCTTTGTGTAAACTGAAAGGTGAAGAAAACAAGGATTTACTGGCAAAAAAACAAATCTGAATAAAAATTCAAAATCCCAAGTCAGCAGATTTATTCTTAATTATAATAAATTGCCAAGTACTGGCTGTTATTAGACAGATTAATGTTCTTAATGATTTAAATGTTAATTTCAAAGGGAAGTGCACAATATACAGAGTTAAAGGAGAAGTTTAGGACGGACGAACGAACAGACACACACATGGACAAACACGCATGCACACACTCTAAGTCAGAGAGCTGAGCAATCACATGACTGCTAAGCACTCAGTTCTTGGTCTGCTCAGAGCAGAGAGCAGTGACTGTCAGTCACTGCTCTCTGCTCTGCCCCTCCAGCCCCCCAAACATTAATATTATTATACAGGATGTAGAGTGCCAACAGTTTTCTCAGTGCTTTACAATATAAAGGGGCACACATATACTCACCTATATGGTTGCAGCATTGGTCCAATGATTCAGCTGTCCCTCTGGCTCGAAGCCCGAGAACGAAGCGATATTATGATCACTCGGCTCTCAGGTCCGCTCTAAGCAGAGAGCAGTGACTGTCAATCACTGCTCTGTGCTCTGCCCCTCCAGCACTCACTGCTGTTCTGGTCTGTGGAGCATGTAAGCGGCTGGTTCAGGCTCTCAGCGACAAAATGAAATGCTGAGTCAGTTCATATTACGGTCCATAGGGATGCAAAGGTAGCCTTCCTGCATTGCCCAATTTTGGTTCTGTCTAGGTCTCAGCAGAAATTGGCATCCTACCTTTTTATTTCGGCCAAACGTGCTATAGCTCAAGCTTGGAGAACCCCTTTGGTTGTCTTCCAGGGGGTAAAGACTCGGATGAATGCTATGTTGTTCAATAAACAGATGTCTAGCATTCTTCATGATTCTCATCCGAGATTCCTTAAGGTTTAGGAACTTTGGATACGTTATTCCTTGCCATTCCTGCCTCCTACTTGTTATGGCCTCCTATAGTCGCTGCCTATGCTAGCCCCGAATCCGTGATCCTTCTAGTTTCCCTTCTTTCATGTTTCTTTCTGATTCCCTTTTGTTATATTTTCTTTGTTTTTCTTCTAACCTTTTTTCTTTTCTCTTTTTTTGATATTATGTTGGATTGCTGCTATTTGGTTCGGCTTTTTGCCGTCTCTTCTTGATGTCATTGGACATTTCGTTATTTGACAAATACAAGTCAGCAGGATGTCTCTGTTTATGTGTTATTGTTCTGCTCTGCCCCTGTGAGGGCGTATTTTGAGCTTGTTATATTCTTAAAAACAAAACTTTCTTAATACAAATATTGAAAACAGAAATGCTGAGTCAGCTGCCAATCAGGCATTTCGGTGGATCCCGACATTGTCAGGCTACATGCAGATTTTAATAGAAAAGCAGAGGGACTGGCAAGAACACCAAGGATTTCACACAAAGGAAGCGCTACTAACAGAACAGGATAATTTTCATACAAGTACATAGTAACGGAGACACAAATCAGGAATATGAAATGTTGGGTTTACAAACACTCTAACAGCTTCCCAACCGCACTATAGTGGATATACTGCTACAGGGCGGCACGGGTGCGCAAAATCACGTATATATACACACGTGATTTTGCATTACCGGGTAGGGGGCACGTGTGCCCTACCTGCACAGCCATTCGCATCCGCAACTGTCAATCATTGGGCCCCGGGCGGCGATTACTCGCCAGCACTCGGTGATTGCCGAGGATCTCCAACGGGGAGGAGAACTGTATGTAAAACAATACAGTTCACCCTGTCAGCTCGTGCGCACTGCCTTGGATGGCTGTGTGATTACAGTGAAGCACCCACACACAGCTTACTGTGAAACAACACACAGTTAACCATTTGATCGCCTGTCATGTTAACCTCTTCCTGCCCAGTGCCATTAGTACAGTGTCAGTGCTTTTTTTTTTTTTTTTTTGTTTAGCACTGATCACTGTGTTGGTGTCACTGGGGATGTCAGCAACACCAAGTCAGTTCCCCCCAGTGTCAGAATGTCCACCGCAGTCCCGCTATAAGTCGCTGATCGCTGCCATTACTAGTAAAAAAATTTTTAAAATCCCAGTATCTACACCGCCATTTGTAAACACTATAACTTTCACGTAAACCAAATAATTTCCACGTATTAGGATTTTTTTTGTAGCAAAAAACATGTAGCAGAATACATTTAGGCCTAATATTATGACTACATTAGATTTAAATTTTTTTACTGGACGTTTAATAGCAAAAAGTCAAAAGGTCTTTTTTTTTTTTGCACAATAAAAAAACGACATGTTTTAATGGACATGTTTAATGGCAAAAAGTCAAAAAATATTGTTTTTTTTCTCAACATTTATGGGGTTTTTTTATAGCGCAAAAAATAAACCACACAGACGATCAAATACCACCGAACAAAAAGCTCAATTCGTGGGAAAAAAAAAAAAAAAAAAAAGGATGTAAATTTCCTTTGGGTGCAGTGTTGCTCAACTGTCAGTCAAAGTAACAGCGTCGCAACGCAAAAAATGGCCAGTGGTTAATATATGATGTTCTAAAGTACAAACAAGAATAGAGGATTGGTCTTACCTGGGCATTTTACATCCATAAAGTAGGAGTTTGGGCTCTGAACCAACCTCTTCTTCTTATGTCTAGTCTTCTCCTCATCATCAGAGGATGGATGCAGTAAATCTTTGGCCAACTGAAAAGAAGCAAAAATACATTTGTATTCCCAATGAGAACACTCTTGGGGAAGATATCTGAAGTTACTATAAGATGATGTCATTCAACTATCTATAGGGGACACAAGATGGTAACAAATAACAGCAGTAATGTATTCACCATGCTGATAAAGGACTGTGTTGTTCCTCGGATTGTGTGTGCTGTAATCTAAACGAATGCAACTTCCCTGATGACTAAATTGGAAGAGAAGGCAACACACCTTATATCATCTATAGTAATCATTAACCTCTGCACCCAGATCAGCAATGCCTTCACCGTTTTATGGCATGAACTTTTTACTGGAATGCAGCCACATGATGAGGTTTTGTATGCAGCACAGAAGAGCATTACTGGACATGTTACAATAAATGCAAATATTAATCTCTAGAATATGCAAGAGACTTGCATACAATGGTAAACAATACCACTGCCCATCAGTTATATCCTTATCCCTGTAGAAGCTGGAAATCACTGTAGTAGTCACCGCTACTACAGTAGTCATCAGTGTCTGTGGAGGGATGGTGGGTGATGTCACAATCTCCACCTTGTCCCAGAAAAGTCCAATCCGAAAAAGGAAACCAGAAGTTATTGGCGATCACGGTTGAAGTGGTACCTACCACAGGGATACCACAGCTTTGGCACATACTTACAACTTGGTCCAACTTGGGCCAAATAAAGCAAAGTAAGCCATTCCCAAACTGTAGCTTTAAAGTTCCCCCTGCTCCAACCCTCCTCTCCACAAATACAAGAGTTTTTTTGTTTTGTTTTCTTTCACACCCCCAGTAAACAGCTCCGCCCCTCAATGCACATCATTTACCTAGATCAATGGTCTCCAAACTGTGGCCCAGGGGCCAGATGTGCCCCTTTGCTTGCCTTTATCTGGCCCTTGGGGTACTATTCCTCCTACTGACACCAACAATGGGGGCATAATTCTTGCAAAATCAAGACGACATCTCCTGCGCTCAGAAACCCAAATCAAGAATTGGTGGATTAACCAACCTCCATGAAAACTCGACCACCAAAAGGATCAAAGGTTGTGCAGCCTAACAAACGTTGCACTTTAAAAACATAAAATGTCCAAGAATGGATCACAAGAGCCAGAGTACCATGCAAATCCCAATTGAAGGGAGACTATGTAATGGCTGACGCGTTTTGAAGGGAGATCCCATCTTCCTCAGAGCTCTGACACCAGCAATGAAGAACTATTCCTCCCACTGACAACAATGATAGGGCACTATTCTTCTCATTGGTACAACCAACAGAAGCATAATTCCTTCCACTGACACCAACAATGGGGCACTATTCCTCCTACTGACACCAATAATGGGGCACGGTTCCTCCCACTGAAGATGTGGCATTGTTTACTCCCTCTGACACCAGGACATTTTCTACTCCTGCTGGCCACAGTCCAGCCCCCCTAAAGTCTGAAGGACAGTAAACTGGCCCTTGTTTAGAAAGTTTGAAGACCCCTGGCCTAGATGAATGACGTGCATAGTGCTCACTGTGCCTCCTGGGATATGCACGTTCACATATCTCAGGAGGCCTTTAGTCTCTCATTCAGAATGTTGAAGCGGGTGAGCCTAGGGGTGCATCATCACAAGGCCCCGCTGGCTGAACCCACAAGAGCCAGTGGGCATCGTGATGATGTCACAAGCAAGGTCGGGACCCAGTGGTATCTGTTGACAGAAGAATGTCAGCGGGACAACTCTGGATTTGGCGGCTGGATAACTACTTGACCAAGGGACTAAATCAGGGTACCAATCTACTTGTCCCTCATGACTATCTACTTGTCCTGATTAAAAAACAAAACAAAAAAAAACTTTGATGCTGTTTATCTCCTACTCACCGGCCTACCCATCTCCACCGCACACCTGGGGACTGGCAGGGAGGGGAGAGACTAATTGGGTGCTCGTCAGGAAAGGGGAGTATCAGGGAAGCACATCTGCTGGGCAAGTAAATGAGACACTGGCCCCCATCTGTCAAGCAAAATCCTGCTGCTTGCCCACATTAGCGGCTTCCTAAATGTGAAAAAAAAAGAAAAAAAAAAAAAAAAATACGTGCTCAGCGTCCAGAAACGCATGTCCCAGGCATCGGATTCCTGAGTAAGCTGAAGGTCCCCTTTAAGGACCCATTCAGACCTCTCTGCTGCATTGTAGTAAGGCAGCACATTCATTTTAGTTAATGTCTGCAGAATGTTATAAACAGAAAATAAAATAAAACTTAAGACTTCACTGCACATGCTCCGCGCTCACCCAACGCCGGAGTCAAAAATCACTACGGGTACAAATGGTGCTGCAACTGAAGATGGACAGGTGTCACCACCACCATCATTCCTGGTGAGAACTCTGCCTATCTAGGACCAGGCTTAACTGACAAAGCTTTTGATTTCCATAGACGTAAAAAAAAAAAAATTTCATCCAGAAAAGCACCAAAAAGTACGGCAAGTCTTTCACAAATGTAAAAATTCATAACATAATTGACCTTCACCATAATCTCACACTACTCATATCACCATTCAATGTGGAATTTACACTTTGGGACTGGCTCAGTGAACATGTTCAGACATGTCCCAGCACAGGCTGCCACTTGAGCAGTAATCATTTCATATCTCCGTGGGTAAACTCTGATGGTCAATAGCCTTCGGACTGAAATGCTCGATGTAAACACAGTGATGTTTTTCAAAACCATTTCAAGTTTCTTCTTTCTAGCAATGTAAGGCTTCATTCAGAAAAGCATTCATAGCAGATCAAGCCATCAAGGATTGGATGTTTTTACCCCAGCACAGACAGATCTTATAGTGGGCCTATGCCCAAACACGGCAAAAGCAACAGGTCCTCTTTAATCCCAAACTACACAGCAGCACATGATCACCTAGCATTTCCTCTCTCCCCAGCTCTATAGAAGAGACCCCCCCCCCCCCCCAGTGTAAACTACAAGTCATATCTTATACAGGGCTATGGACTCACCACAGGTGGCAGCTCCGGTGTTTGGTCAAGAGCTGTCACATGGAACGAGTCACATGCTCCTCCATACTTGAGAGTACACAGTATTTTCTTTGCTCCTGGTAGCTGAACAGAGTAACACAGTAATGGTCCATGGGCTGGGAGGGTTAATTAACCACCTCCCACCCGCCATATAGTAATATGACGGGCGCAAGGTGGTTCTCTCGTTCTGGGAGGACGTCATACGATGTCCTCCCATTCTCACTGCGCATGCGCGGCTCAGGGAGCACGCAGCGCGGCGATGCGCTGTGTCCCTCAGACCAGCGGAACACCGATCACGGAAAGAGCCGAAGATGTCGGCTCGGTCATGTGATCAGCTGTGTCCAATCACAGCTGATCACATGTAAACAGGGAAATGCCGGTTATCGGCATTTCTCTCCTCTCGAGCTGTCACGCTGACAGCTCGAGAGGAGAGGAGAGCCGGTAATCGGCTTTCTGTGGAGGGGACATGTACACTGATCAGGGCATTGATGATCAGTGTAGCCCCAGCAGTGCCACCTGTCAGTGTACATCAGTGCCTTATGTCAGTGCCTCGGGCCAGTGCCCATCAGTGCCACATATCAGTGCATACCAATGCCACATATCAGTGCCCATCTGAGCTGCCAGTCAGTGCCGCCTAACAGTGCCAGTCAGTGCCGCCTAACAGTGCCATGTATCAGTGCTGCCTGTCAATGCCCATCAGTGCCACCTACCAGTGCCTCCTCATCAGTGCCACCTATCAGTGTCCATCAGTGCAGCCTATCAGTGCACATCAGTGAAGGAGAAAATCACTTATTTACAAATTTGATAACAAAAACTAAGAAAAAAACTTTTTTTTCATAATTTTTAGTGGTTTTTGGTTTAAGAAAAAATAAAAAACCCAGAGGTGATTAAATACCACCAAAATAAAGCTGTCACAAAAAAATGATAAAAATTTCATATGGGTACAGTGTTGCATGACCGCGCAATTGTCAAAAGTGTGACAGCGCTGAAAGCTGGAAATTGGCATGGGCAGGAAGGGGGTATAAGTGCCCGGTAGGCAAGTGGTTAAAGTAAACCTGTTGGAAGAACATGGGTTTGTTTGCTGTAAACAATCAGTCCTATAACCAAAAAAAAAATTACAAATTATTATACAGGATTTATATAGCGCCAACAGTTTGCTCAGCGCTTAAGGCTCCATGTACACTGCAGCTGATAAACTCACGTTTAGGATTTTTTCTACTTTTTTTTTCAGCAGCCCCTGAACTCTCCCTAATGTATTTCTATGTGTCCATGTACACATCTTTGTTTACAGGCAGTTGAGTTTACAGTCGTTTTTTTTTTTGAACGCAACAAACTTGCATTCAGGAGTAGATTTTATCAGCGGTTTCAAACGTGTGCAAACATGGCTAACCACGTTTATAAGCGTTTGCAAATTTCTTTTAACTCTTCCTTTTCCAGATGCTATCCAGAGCCTTTTTTCAGCATGAAAAATGCATGCAAAGTGTTTTCCCGGTACTCAAATGGACCTGGTACACCATAATTTGAGGTTCTGCATGAAAGAAAATGTTAGACACTTCTGCAATAATTGCTGCACAGAAATGAGCTGGAACACATCCAAACACCACGAAAAATAAAAAAGACCGCTAATCTCAACAAATACTGCTCTCTCTGCTTCTCTCAAAATGTCTGAAATCGTTAATTTTTTACTGGTTTTCAGTGCATTCTGGGCATTTTGGAAGGTCTCCTGAGGTTATCTTAAAAAATGCTTCTAAACGCAAATGCTCATAAACGCGGTATGCAAACGCGCCTAAACAGACTTTTTTAACCTACGTTTTCCAGCAGTCAGTTTCCATCGTTCAAAAGAGTTTTCCAAACGTCCCGTGTACATGGAGCCATACAAAATAAAGGGAGACAATACAGCAACGATACAGTTCAATATAAGAGGGCCCTGCTCCTTGGAGCTTACAATCTAAGAGATTCTTCAGTTTCAGGGTCTATCCAAGTACAATCGGAGTCATTACTTAAGCTGGCCAAACATTGATGGAAATCTGGCCAGTTCAGCAGGGACTAAACAGATTTCGATCCATATATAGCTCAACAGAAATCAATCTAACAAGCGACTTCTGTGGATTGGGACTGTTGACAAACTTTTGTTGATCAGCGGCTGGTCAGTGTCAGGAGTCCTCCTACTCAACATCTGATGGCACAGCAGAAAGGATTCCTCCATCCACCTTGCATGCGTTATTGAAATCTCCCCTATATGTCATGTATGGTTTCCCTGAAACTTTTAGTAGTTTTTGTGGCACACTTATTTTAAAAAATCTGAAATACATTTGGTTTGTTTCCTTGGGTTAACTGCAATAATAAGACAAATAGCCGGGGGAAAAAAATATCACTAGTGCACCTGAACTAGCTTGTAGGTAAACATATCATCATGGCAATACATAGGACATGTTTGTGCAAATATTGAGAAGTGTGCCCAGACTTGACAGCTGTTTTATTTTCCTTTTGTTCAGCAGACACTCATGCATGTAAGTGTGCAGAGCTATAGATCGTCACATGCGTGAAAGTACATTTCTCCGAAAGGAAATCCAGGTGCAGCCATTGCCCGTCTCCACCTTACAATGGCAGGTTCTCTGGCTGTTATGACAGCTTACAGATATTAGTGCCCAGTCACTGAAGTGTAACAAGCGTGCAGATCAGACTCCAAGTCACAAGCCATCTGCTGCAGACAGTAGTGTTGTGTGTCAAGTGACTCAAAAGGGATTGAAGAGAAGAGTGAGCAATACAACCAGCATCACAATGAAAACCTGCAATGACGTTCTCCATATTTAACAGTTCTCCTGTACCTGACATTGCTGTCAAGACATGCATTCATTCCCATCCATCGCAGGTCAGCATTAGGGCTCCTGTACACTGCAGCTGATAAACTCACGTTCAGAAGCTGTTCAGCGTTTTTTTTCAGCAGCCCCTGAACTCACCCTAATGTATTTCTATGTGTCCATGTACACATCTTCGTTTACAGGCACTTGAGTTTACAGTCGTTTTTTTTTTTAACGCACCAAACTTGCCTTCAGCAGATTTTATCCGAATTTCAAATGCTTGTAAACGTGGCTAACCGCATTTATAAGCGTTTGCAAATTTCTTTTAACTCTTCCATGTCCAGAGCCTTTTTTTCATCATCAAAAAATGCATGCAAAGCGTTTTCCCAGTACACAAAGGGACCTGGTACACCATACATTGAGGTTTCGCATGAAAGAAAATATGTTAGACACTGCTGCAATAATTTCTGCACAGAAATGAGCTGGAACACATCCAAACACCACGAAAAAAAAAAAAAAAAAAAGACAGCTAATCTCAACAAATTCTGCTCTCTCTGCTTCTCTCAAAATGTCTGAAATAGTTAATTTCTTTACTAGTTTTCAGTGCATTCTGGAAGGTCTCCTGAGGTTATCTTAACAAAACGCTTCTAAAAGCATACGCTCAAACGCGGTATGCAAATGTGGCTAAACAGACGTTTTTTAACCTACGTTTTCCAGCAGTCAGTTTCCATCGTTCAGAAGTGTCCCGTGTACATGGAGCCTTACAAAATAAAGGGAGACAATACAGCAACGATACAGTTCAATACAAACGCCAAACGTTTGTAAACGATGTTAACCGCGTTTAGAAGTGTTTTTTTAACTGTTCCATGTCCAGATGCTGTCCAGAGCCTTTTTTCATCATCAGAAATGCATGCAAAGCGGTTTCCATGTATTCAAATGGACCTGGTACACCAGTGCAGTCAGTTCCAGGTTTCATTCTCTCTCCTGGCACCCTATGTCAGGCGCACAATCCCAGGTGCGCGCTCTCCTAGCACGCTATCCCAGTCATATATTCCCAAGTGTACGCTCTCCTGTCGCACAATCCCAGGCGCGCACTATGCCAGGTGCACAATCCCAGGTGCATGCTCTCCCGGCGCCCTATGCCAGGCGCACAATCCCAGGTGCGAACTCTCCCGGCGCCCTATGCCAGGTGTAAAATCCCAGGTGCACGCTCTCCCGGTGCCCTACGTCAGGCGTAAAATCCCAGGTGCGCGCTCTCCTAGCACACTATCCTAGTGCACTATGCCAGGCGTATAATCCCAGGTGCGCGCTCTCCTGGCGCCCTATGTCAGGTGTGTGCTCTCCTAGCACGCTATCCCAGTGCACTATGCCAGGCGTATAATCCCAGGTGCACACTCTTCTGTTGCACAATCCCAGGTGCGCACTATGCCAGATACGCGCTCTCCTAGCACGCTATCCCAGTGCACTATGCCAGGCGTATAATCCCAGGGCAAGCTTTCCCGTTGCACAAGCCCAGGTACACGCTCTCACATGGGCGCCCTCTGCCAGGGGCACCATATGGTAGCAGAGTGATCTGTTTGGGAATAGCCCCAGAAGGTGAATGTAGTGTGAATCTATGGGATCCTGATGAAGGGAGGAATGTGAAGAATAAACAATGAATTGTCGATCCTCTCCGATCACAGGTCCAGTACACTGACAGACAGGAATAATGACCAGGCCTTGTGATCAGCTGTGTGATCGGCCAGCCATGCATTCCCTATAGGGCCGCAGATGATACCGGCCAGAACACACAGACCGATCACCAATACACCTGCCGATCACAGGGACACAACCACACCGCAGCTGTCAGCTGGACCCAGCACGGGACCACGTGACGTCACCTAACTCAAAGTCCCGGCACATGCACGGTGACTATCTGTGAAGTCGCCGCACACATGTCCGACAGATGGAACCCAAAGTGCGCCATTAGCTGTCAACTCACAGGCATGGCTCTCCCTCGTGGACATCAACACACTCCACGCAGCACGCAGGATCCGAGTTCCGGGCAGAGGGGGCGGGGAAAGCCTTAGGGAGCCTGTGCGGGATAAGCGAGTGGGCGCCATGTTTAGTATGGGTAGCGCTACTATTCGGGGCTACACGACAGAAACGTCTCAGCTAGTGGAAGCGAAAGGCTTGCCCTTAGTAAATATGGCCTCCTTTCATTTGCTCAATCTGCATTCCTCTACGAGGGCACCTACTGGATATTTGATGGGCAATAAAGATTGGATTTGAGGGCTTTTGTGGCTCCTGTACACCTACGTCACAGCATAGCATGGCGCACCGTCCTACCTGACAGCTTCTATACTCTGTGGCATTTTCTGTACATGTCCAACAATGTACTGTGTATGTAACCCCTCCTGTACACTATCTATGGACCTGTGTATTCAGAATGACTTTGTCATTAAAGTGGTATTTGCCCTCCTGAGGATTTACCCCTGTTCCTGACCAGGCCATTTTACGGCACTGCGTTACTTTGACAATTGCGCGGTCATGTAGAGCTGCACCCAAATGAAATTTGCATCCTTTTTTCCCACGAATTGAGCTTTCTTTCGGTGGTATTTGATTGTTTGTGCATTCTTTTATTTTTTGCGTTATGAAAAAAAAAGACCGACGATTTAAAAAAAAAAAAACTATATTTTTAACTTTTTGCTAATAAATTTGTCTAGTAAAAAAATAAAAAAGTAAAATTTCGTCTTAAATTCATGCCAAAATGTATTCTGCGACGTGTCTTTACAAAAAAAAAAATCCTAATACATATAAATTAATTGGTTTACGTGAAAGTTGTAGCGTTTACAAATGGTGGTATAGATACTGGGATTTTTAAAACATACTAGTAATGGTGGCGATCAGCAACTTATAGCGGGCCTGCGGCAGGCATTCTGACACTGGGGGGAACTGATTTGGTGTCACTG